TTTTGGTAGTGGGGATTGAACGTGGCACCCTGCGCTTGCCAGGCAGGCGGTGGAACCACTGAGCTAAATCCCCAGCCCTCCCATGAACTTTAAAAGGCAAAAGTTAGAAGAATCCTCTATTTTCTTTTTCTTCTAGTTCTTTCTCTCTTTTTGTTTTGGTTTTTGAGACACTGCAGTTCAGGGTGGCTTTGAACCCACTATGTAGCCCATGCTGGCCTTGAACTTGCAATGATCCTCCTGCCTCCACCACCACTCCTGGCTAGACTCTGATTTGTATGCAGGTGTTATTTATAATTACGACAAATAATAATTTATGTTTAAATGATAATCTCATGTGTAATACTATATGCTACTCTGATTTAAAATACAAATAACAGCAGTATTTACTGTCTGCTTACCATGTGTCAGGCATTACCCTAAATACTGAGCATACGGTACTGTCTCATTAGAGTTTCACAATAATGACACCAAGTAGATACTATTTTACAGGTACAAAAACTAAACTGGGCAGGGTGGCACAACGGTAATCCTAGCACTCCAGGAGGCTGAGGCAGATACAGCTCAGTGAAAAGGCCCTACGTTCAATCTCTAGTACTGCCAAAAACCAAAACAACTGATGTGTACACTTGTTATTGACCCTGTATAGCTTGTGAAAGATGGGAAATCTGTCTGTTCCATAATCCAAGTAACTAATCACTATGTACAGTGCTAATGACTGTCTCTTTCAATAGATTCTGATCCTATTCAGAATACATAAATTGAGAGATAGTGAGGATTTTTTAAAACAATCTTAATGGCTGGTCAAAATCGTGATAAACTACTTATTTTTTACTAGTTTTTTGAAACAAGCAAACCAAAAAACACCTACTTGTGATCAGATAAATCCAAGTAATAGGGTACATATGCCAGATCTTCAGATTTCCAATGTTGCATATTTAAGACAACAAAAGGTGGTGCTCCTCGGCAGAAAACTCGTTGGGAAAATTCTCTTAAGCCACCACACCTAAAATGGAACACGGGCATGAACATTATTATACTTGGGATAA